ATCTTGCATTCTTGCCCATCTTTCTCTCTTCTCCCCTGATCTTCATAGAATCATAGAATGTGTTGGGCTGGAAGGCACCTTTAAAGGTCATCCAGTGCAACCCCCCTGCAGTGAGCAGGGTCATCTGTAACTAGAGCAGGTTCCTCAGAGCCCCATCCAGCCCGACCTTGAATGTCTCCAGGGATGGAGCCTCCACCACTCTCTGGGCAACCTGTGCCAGTGATTCACCACCCTCATAGTAAAGAGATTCTTCCTAATGTCTAACCTAAAATCTACCCTGCTCTAGTTTAAAACCATTGCCCCTCATGCAAAACAGTTTTGCCCCTCATGCAAACAGTAAACAGTTCCTCCCTAGCGTTCCTGTAGGTCCCCTTCAGGTACTGGAAGGCCGCTCACCTGAACTACTTTTATCTGACCAGAAATAAATGTGCAAATTCACTGATTACTTGATTTAAACATATGATATACATATTCTTTACCCTCTGTGTACATAAAAGGTTTTCAATTTTTGCCCTTTTTCACAGTATCCACACAGTGATTTCTGCACCATTTATGGTATTTTCAGCCATGTTTAAAAAAAAACCAAAAAACAAAAAAAAACCTGTTTTGGAAACTGACCTTTCTAAGACTAATGCAAGACTTATCCTGCAAATGACTTGTATGTTCCATCTGTTTGTCAGCAAGACTTAGCTGGGATACTACGTGCGGAGGCGGATGTTGGCTTAGGTTTTCTTTGTCATGAATATGACATTACAATGCTAAGTGATACTTTATTCTTTAATGAAGTTGTCTACAAGATACTGTTATTCTTTAATGATTTATTTCTTGTAAATTAAAGGGCAATAATGAGCAGCCTGTTCAGACCAGCAAAATAGGTCTGGGTAGAAGAGAGTATCAGAGCTTGCAGCATCGCCACCATTCTCAGCGTTCCAAATGCCGTCCACCAAAAGGCATGTACCTGACCCAGGAAGATGTGATAGCTGTTTCCTGTAGTCCCAATGCAGCCAACACAATTCTTAGACAGCTGGATATGGAACTAATCTCGTTAAAGCGACAGGTACCATGGGTTATTGGTCTTGTTTTGTTTTCATCTCAGATTGTTCTGATTGTAATGATTTTGAAGATTATCTGTGAAGATTCTGAAACTTCTTTAATGTGAGTCTTCCTAATTTTGTTCCACAGTTATCACCAGAAATGCTGGACACTAGCTGACCAGCTGTTACTTGTTTTTGTTTTTTATGTTCATCTGCTCTTGTGGATAACATGAAACAAGATGACTTGGGGGAAAAAAAAAAGGGAGGAGGGAGTATGGCATGAAAACAATGTTACAGATTTGGGGATAGGAGAAAATTGACGTCACATTTAATTTATTTTTTTTTTAGTTTGTTGAAAGTATTTGTGTGACAAGAATAAGATTAAAGAAGCAGAGAAAGTTACATGTGTTATGCTTAAAATTACATGTTACATATGTTATGCTTAAAATGTAGCTGTTTCTCTGGATGTCCTTTTCTACATACAATGAAAGTATAGCAGGGGAAATCATGGGCGTAATTATTTCTCTGAATTGATGAACTTTCTACCTCCTATTAAATTTAGAAAAGTTCTGTAGTCTTCACCTTTAAGAGGACAATTGCCTGCGTACTTTGCATGAAGAAGTTAACTTTTGGCACTTAAAGCTGAAATACAGAATATATTCAGCTTCTGAGGGTACAGCAGGACGTGCGTGCTTGCTTTCTAGGAGCGATGGGGCAACTAAGTCAAGGCTTATCTCCAGGAATTTCTGCCTCCTCATAAACCGCTTAGAACTGCCGTGGTGCTAAGTCATGGAGCAAGTACAGGGTTTCATGGGATTTTTACTCCCTTGTGTTCTTTTACAGGAGAAATATACTTCTTTCTGTCACAGCAGGACTCTGGGGCTTGATAGCGTAGGTGGGTTTCACTGTTTAGCATAAGTGTAGGTGAGTTACAGCTTTGAGGTTGTGTTTCTCTTTTTTTCTTGCAGTGATCTCAGAGGTGCAGCCTTTGGAATCTCCCACTGAGTTGTCTGCTTTTGTGTCCATACTTAAGAACACTTGTAATACTGTCCACCGTAGTATGCAAAACTATTTTCTTACCTATGTTACCTTATAAGCATTGCTGCCAGGTTTAAATGATTAATAGATGTCTGTATGTACAAATTGGAAGCTCAATTGTTTTTATAGACTTAAGATGTTTTATTTACATATTTTTTTAAATTTCAAGAATTACCCTTGAAATCATGGTGATCTAAGGTCAATTAAAAGCAGTATGTCAGAAGGAACTAACTGGAAACATCTCATAATTTTTTTTCCTAAGTGCTTTTTGGAGAAGAAGGAAGTTAACATATACAGTACATCTCACTTAGAAATCTAAGAACCAAGTTTTGTGTCTAGAAAATTCTGTATTCTTCTTCAAGAACACCTGCCTCATTATCAAAACTTGCTTGTTTTCTCCTACCTTTAATATTCCTGCAGACAAACTGTTCTTTTGAAAGACTGGATTTTCTCTCTGTAGTAAACTGCTGTATTTTTTTACTTTTTTTTCTTTTAAACAGTTAAAGTAGTGAAGCCTTAAACCGTAATATTTCTCTTTCTAACTTAGGAGGTACACTTGTGGCAATCCTAGTGAAGATATATGTGTAAAGTGACCAACTTTCTTTGTGGAGCTGATTAACTTTGTTGTTTTTGACCAAGGTTCAAAATGCTAAGCAAGTAAACAGTGCACTTAAACAGAAAATGGAAGGCGGGATTGAAGAATTCAAACCTCCTGAGGTAAATCAGAATAAATATTAGAACTTGTGGCCTTGCACTTACATTAGTGGGAAGCTACAGAAATGTATTTTGCTGCAGCATAGTGTTTGCATTTCAGCAGCAGCTTAAACAGGATCCGTTGATTTACATGTAGGGGTGAGTCTGGCTTCTTTACAAGAAAATAGTGGTAGGCTTTTTTTATGACAACTGGCTGAATAAAGAAGTGGAAAAAACTTGAAATGTCATGTCTGTTAATGGGGGCACTTTGAACCCTGATATGTAGGTTTTTTTCTGATTAAAAGTAGATAATGTAGATTTCTGGCAGTAAATTCTGTATTCTGTGTGAAAACGTGACTGTATATACATTTGAGTATTCAACGCGAAGGATTTATTACTACTGATTTTCTTCTTTTGCTTGTTTTAAAGGCTTGGATATGAAACGTAATGTGAATGCAAAACAATCCAGACACCAAGTCCTAATAGTTCAGATAAATGTAACTATAAATTCAAATTCTGTCTGAATGAAGATCATTAACTTGTGCATAAGTTATAATATAGCTGATATTAAAAACTGCAATAAAACAGAGGAAGAACTATTTGTGTACTTCTAAGCACAAATCCTTAAATGCTGCTCCCTCTTCATGAAAGCAATCTTAAACTATAAATTTATGGCTAGTAAGCAAGAAATTTGTGTGTTAGAAAAACGTAGTGCTAATAAAACACATTCTGATGCTCAGATGTTTTACAGATGTTGAAACGTTTTAATGATCTTTGTTCTGTTTTTCTGATTTTAATAGTCTAATCAGAAAATCAATGCCCGTTGGACCACAGAAGAGCAGCTTCTTGCAGTACAAGGTATGTTGATAGTATTAGTGGCTTGAAATCTGATGCAAAGGATTTGAAGAGGTACTCAGGCTTATGTTTGTATGTCCTTCTAATGAAAAGCTAAATTTCATCTGGTCTTACGAGAAAGTTAATAGGAAAGCAACAAAACTAGGGCATTCATTCAAGCAACATGATACTAGTCTTTCAGTTACCCAAATTGAATCTCCAGTGGAAAAGCCAAGCTGGGTTTAACAACCGTAGTAGTTCCAAAACATCCCTTCAGTTGTCTTCTGAATTACCTTACCTGAATTTCTCTGAAGGAGAAGACTGAAGTAGTAGTTGCAGTAATAAAATTTGAAGCAAATGCTCATTAAGACATCTCTCTATTCTTAAAGTAGGAAAAAACCTAAAAGTAAAACCACTTTACATTTAACTTTCTCAGCAGATAGCTACCAAGTGAATTCCTGAAGCTGAATATGGATACTTGACTAACAGTCTTATTGATACAGCTGATTTGCAGTCATTTATACGAAGGAAAACAGATTCTTATCTTGCTTTAACGTGCATTGCCTAATCAAGGAAAATGCAAAGAAAATATGTGGAAAGCTTAATGCTACCTAGAAGATGCTCCATGTTGACTCATTTCTATGGGTCTTCTTTTTAGAGATAATCAGCTCAGTTATATACATCTGGTTTACTTCTCTGTATTCTTCACCTTGAAAATGAAAGACTTGATTGTAGCATAAAACCTTCAGCTAGACTGGGATATCAGTGTAAAGTTGTTAGGTGTGCCATACGTGATAGTTACTAACCAGACAACTGAACCTAAAGCTAGGTTTAATTTGAAGTGTGAATGTAAATGAAGAGCATGGTGTATCTAAAGTCACGCCTCTCAATTTATGTGCCTCAGACTGGGATTTGCGTCTCTAAAAAATCATTTTCTGTTGTAAGTTCATCCTCTCAGTACTGCTAACAAGCTCACTTTTTTTATTTTGTTCCCAAACGCAACTGAAGGAGATGCCTGTCTTTAATACGATAGTCTAGTAAGTAGAATTCTTGCTGGAGAAGTGGGGAAAATCGAGGTTTGTGCCTGCCTTGGCATGAAAATATTCAAAGTGTCTTGCATTTTCAGAGTTTAGTTATTGGAGCTCTTGCTAAGCATCAGGGGGAAATGGTAAGAATGCATTTAGCCTTTATTAAGCTACAGCGCTGTGTGACTGACAAAGTGTATAATAAAATTGGAGCATGAGCAAAAGAGAATGAGGATTGGTGATGACTCCTTGGGGAGGAGTTCTAGTCTTCTGATCTCTTCTCTAGAGAATATTTTGTTTTTCATGAAGGTAGTCAGCCTCAATACTTAAAAGGGTGGTATGAGAAATGAAGCCTCCTGGAAGAGACCTGTTTTCGTTGAATTGACATATACTTCTTTATATGTATTGCTTCCTTTTTAGTTCCCTTCCTTTGCTGCTGTATAAAATGCAGATGGGAGAGAACCTAAATGCCAGAAACAAAGTGTTCTTATTATTGCTCCCTTACCTAGGGCCTGGTAGTAGAGTCTCTGTCCTGGAGTGAGAGTGCTGTAGGTATAAAGCTCCTGTCCCTCAGCCTAAGGATCCTCTTACTTCAAAATAATTGCTTAAGCTAGTGGATTATGTATGGAGGACCCACGCTGTCTTTTGCCCTGACTCTGTGTTTAGAAGAAAGTAGCTGTGGTTGCTGTGCTAAAAGCTGCCAGAACATGGGTTAGGCTTGAACTTGGAAGTTGACTTGAACATGGAGACATTTAGTTTGTACATTTAAAATAGCTTTATTCCATCAAATGTATTGATAACGTTTTCACATGTGCTTTTAATAATTTTAGAGAAATCATAAGCATTAAGCAGGTAGGTGGCACTGCTGTGACTTGTTCACTTGAATTCAGGTGTTAAATCCAACCATGGAAATAATGAAAAGAATCTGCAGTGATATAATTTTGGTACTGTTTTTCCTAAACATGAAAAACTCCTGACATCTATGGGCTAATCTCAAGAGATTGGCACTAACTAAAAGGGAGGTAATTAAAAAAAAAAACCACTTTAAAATAAAGCTGAGTACGTAATATTAAAAAGCAGTGTCTGCCTGCAGCGGGCTGGTGCACTCACGTTTATGATCTCTGAGCAAACCTCTTGCAGTGTAACTTACCAGATTGCTGTTTAACTTTGTCTGAATAGTTATTGAATTTAATGAGCCAGTTCATCACTCAAGGTGTTTTTAAGTTACGCTGTTTTTTTAAGTTACACTGTTTTTAAGTTAAGCTTTATTTCTGTATAGAAATGTGTATAAGCTCAGTCATCTTTTCAGATTAGGATCTCAGCCATGTGAAAATTGCAGTTGCAAAAATATTTTGAGGCTTGTTCAAAGCAACAAAATTTGGATGGAAAAGCAGTACATGACTTCCTTAAAATTGCAGCAGAAAACAGTTGGGACAACTGGGATCAAACTCTGGGTAGGGTAGTTGCCAGGAGCGTTGTAAATGGCAGCACTCCTAACCCAGAGGTTGCCCTTAACTCTTTCTGACTTGTGTGGTGCCGTGTTGCTTTGGACCCAGGCTGGTGTTCTTTGTGCCTCCAAGCCTTTCTGTGCTGCAGCCTTGAGCAGCATAGACAGATCAAACTGAGTGTCTCTGAGTTAGAGGTTCTACTTGCAACATTGTAGTAGAGAGCACATAGGTGTTCAAGTGCACCTTTTGGTGAAGTTTTAAAGAACTTGAAGGACTCCTGTGGTCAAGGCTACTTTCAAAAGAGCCGGGAGAAAGACGTTCATATGTGCTACGTGAGGCTATGGTCATCTTTTTGGAGCTTCACTTTCAACAACCTAATAAAATTATTCTTGTGGAATACCATTCAATGCTTCAGAAATAGTTTGGGTGTTGTTTAGTGCAGATTTTGTACAAGGATGCCTAAGTAATGTCCACCAAGTTAAAAAGGATGATGGGTTGGCATCAACTCTTACAGATATGCCAGCACCTTATGCATAAAAGTTTCATATACGTGTATTGAACTCTCTCTGTTTCTGAGCATCTTAAAAGGATTTTACTACATCATTGTGTGGGAGTCGTTGTAGTGATGCTAGAGCAGTACTAAATAACACTCTGAAAAGAATCCAAAATTAATAGTGCTGTAACTAAACTGAGGAAAAAGTATTTCCTGTAGATATTTCTTATAGTTGGGCTCTCAGTAAAGGCAGGATACACTGTCTTCAAACTATCGGCTTGAATATAGGTTTTAAGACCTTACTTTTGACAACTTCAGTGGAAGTTAGCCAAGAGGCTCAGTTGTTTTGTAGGTTAAGGAGAAGGAAGAAGGATAGACAGCACAGTAACAGAAAAGGCTGAAGTCACTAAAAGTCTGCATTAGGTTTCAAACAAAAATGTGCTTTGTTCTGCTGGGCACTTTGTTCACTTGATTAATTGTACAGGATATTAGATATGTTGCAGTGGACATTTGGTGATCATTATGAATTAGCAACAGTGCTAATAGCAGGGCAATCTTAAAGAATCTTAAAACACTGGAGGGAGTGCTCCGTGGCCGCACAAAACTTTTAAGGAGTACAGCCCATAGCCTGTACAACCGATAAAGCACAGAGCCTAATCCCTGCCTTTGCTTTGCCTAGATACATGCCCTCCCATGTGGCTCAGTGCTAGGTCCCTTTGTTTTCTTTCCAAGGTTCTTGCAGTCAGGATGGTTGGATTCTTTTGAATGCCCCAGAAAAGATCTTAAATAATGTATCGGGGCTCCTGGCAGTTGAAACATTAGCTTCAGCTACAGAAATTGTTACTATACGGGAGCTGAACTTTTCTCTTAAATTGCAGTGAGTGCGTATTACCACATCAGAAGTGCCTATTAATGAAGAAAGTAGAAAAGAGCAGAATGAGCTGAAGGTCATACTCTTCACAAGTTGAAAAGGAACATAGCTTTCAGGTTTGAAACAACTCTCTGAATCCTTGGCTTCACTTTCTGAAGTGAGGCATGAAATCAGGCATAAATTTCTTCTCCTGTAATGAGACAAGAGTGCCTGTCCTCTAAGCACTGTAATGTGTTCTGAATGAGCTTACTTATAAGGAGCTTCACAGAAGAAGTCAAATTGTAATTCAGTCATGCATAGCTGAGAGCAAAAAATGAGTCTTCTGTTTACTCAATCTGGAATAAAACTCTGTTTTATTTGGTTTAGTCTCCAAACTTTTGTACACTTGTGATTAAAAAAAAAACATTGTGCAGCTAAAAGCTGAGTTCTAGGGTGCTGGAGAGTTTGAGGATTTTTTTTCTTAAGGAGGAGAGAAGAGGAACTAGACACATACTGTAAATATAACTGAGAGCAAATCAGTAAGCTTTAGGGTTTAATTCCAATTTTAGGTTAAAACCTATGGAATGTTTTACTCAAGGTTTTACACTTTTTGGTGTTATATGCAAATGTAGTTTAAGAAATTTGAAAAGTACATGTTGGTATTTTCTGGCGAAGTGCTTGTAAACAAAAGTCACCTACTGATGTTGATATGAAAATAAATGAAGAGAGCAGTGCAGAGATCTGCTGTCACGTTGTTCCTTGCTGGAGGATTTGATCCTGGAGATGTGTGCTGGCCTGTCTTACAGACATCAGTAGCTTATATTTACTTAGATTACCCAAGGTGGTTGTCCCAAAACCTCAGATTCTTCCACCCAGCTCAAATGGTGAGTGAAAGCTTTAAAAAGACTATGTCAGGTGAACACTTGCCAGTTGCTCTTCACAGCCTCAGGAGACCTTGTCACAAGTACTGGAATGAGCAGTATTGTCATGATTTACGGAGCTGTGCCCCGCTGTTCTGCCCTGTGCTTGATCCAGTAGCTACTGCCCTCCACCACTCCTGCTCCACAGGCTGTGGGTGAAGAAGAAACATCTGTGTGCAGCTGGCACAGAGGGAGCCTCTAGAACCTGCCAATGTTTGTTACTTGACATTTCTAGCGTTATACCCTGTTTACAGCTCTATACACATGCTCGGTCACCCTCTCTCTCCCATCTTGAGCTTTTCTTGGGCTTCTGCCCTTACTGCACACACACTGGAGGATTTACTTTATCTGTCAGAGGCCAGATCTCTGCGGTTTTAGGTTAGGAGGTTTGGTGAGTAAGCCAGGATCTTTAAGAAGAGTGGGTAATGACCTTTTATTAAAGTTCTTGATTTGTATGTTGATAGCTGTGCAATTAAAAATTACTTTGTTTTAATGGAAATGAAGGACTCCTCCTAACTGAGAAGTCTTCCTAATTAGCAAGTCCTTGGTTTGCAGGTCCCATAGGTTCTCTATAAATACATCACACGTAGCTGTGTCTGACTGATTCTTCACAGCTATGTTATTTACTTTGCCTTCCAGGTGTCCGAAAATATGGTAAAGATTTTCAAGCTATTGCAGATGTAATTGGCAACAAGACTGTTGGCCAAGTGAAGAACTTCTTTGTAAACTACAGGCGTCGGTTTAACTTAGAGGAGGTATTGCAGGAATGGGAAGCGGAACAAGGAACCCTGGCTTCTAATGGTGATGCTTCTGCTTTAGGGGAGGACACAAAAAATACTTCTAATGTGCCATCAGGAAAGAGCACTGATGAAGAAGATGAGGTGTGTTTTGTGTACCAGAAATAAGTAAGCATGGGTTGAGGAACAGCATTTTATTTAGTGATATAATGTAAGGTTAACTGGTGTGGAGTGGCAAACCGCATTCTAAAGAATGATGACGAGCTTGCATAGAACTTCAGCCAATGTCGTTAACCAGCTGGGAGCAGGACTGCACCTTTCATAGTGATGATCATGTTACTGTTTTATTGTTAAAATACAATTCTTGTCGTAGAAGAAGACTCTTGCTTCGTAAATATTTGTAGTTCTGCTGTCCATAATGTTTTGGTTGGTCATTTCTTTTCAGTAACTTCTCTTTTTTTTTTTATTTTGGTTTGTTTTTTTTTTTGTTTGTTTTTTTTTGGTTTGGTTTTTTTTTTCTAATGCTGTTTCCTGTGTAGTGGACAGTGGCAGCCCAACTGCATGGCATCCTGGTTGGGGTGGCTGTTCACGCGGTCTTGTCTTTGTCCTTTGTGCAGGCACAAAGCACTCCGGCCACTCAGTGTTTAGGCCCTTCACCTCCAGCACAGGCATCTGCTCCAGCACCTACCGCTCCCATGGCAACTTTAAACCAGCCGCCCCCGCTACTTCGTCCAGGCCTTCCCGCTTCTTCCGGCAGCCTCCACCACTTCAACAGCAGGCGCGATTTATCCAGCCACGGCCGACTCTAAACCAGCCTCCCCCACCGCTCATCCGCCCAGCTAATTCCATGCCTCCTCGTCTAAACCCGAGGCCGGTGTTAACCACGGTTAGTGGCCAGCAGCCACCCTCGCTTATTGGAATTCAGACAGAATCTCAGTCCACTCTGCACTGAAGAAATAAAGCTGAATTATGCTAACTGCTACGTTTGGAAAAATTGTATCAATGTACTTTCTTTTTTTTCTTTTTTTTTTTTTCCTGAATAATGAAGGGGAGAAAAGAGCAAGCCTTCACAGGTATCAGACCAGTTTTACAGAGGAGCAAGCTAATAACTAGAAACGGAACCACATGAATGACCACCTGTATAAAAATATTTTTATGTCGAAGACTTGTACAGCAGAACAATGCCTACAATACAGCCCTCCTCTATATGAATAACTGTTGAAGGAAGCTAACTTCTTAAATGAATAAATGTTCAACACACCAAGATTTTGTTTAACTGATTTTTACTCTATTTATTTTATTACGATTCTTTGTAGTCAAGCATCTAACTGCAGGAAAGTAGTCTGGCAAATCTAGGAGTAGATAATATTGTAGGAGACTCAAATGTAGCGTTGGGTTTTTTTGTGTGTGTGAATATTTTTTTTTTTACCTTTTAGTTCAAAAAAGTAATGGCCTTAGGCTCAGAGTTTTTTGGCCCCCTTTACATAACAGTGGAATCATTTCACGCACTTGTAAAATGTAGGTGTTTCTTCTCTTCATATTTTCCCAGAACACTTTCCTGTTTAAAAAGGTACTGTCTTATCAAATACTCTTCTGACAGAGTATTCTGAAGACTCAGTGAGCTATTGTACCAAACTTACCAAATCGTGTGCGTGTTCTTCTCATAGAAGTTACCTGAAAGCAGGAGTCCAGTTTCCTGCTGCAATATCTCTTGCAGGCTGAGACTGAGAGAGGCAGCAACTTCTGCCACCCAGGGGGATGACAGGGGAGGAACCATATAGCGAGAACCATTAATTTAATTTGTTATTCCTCTAATTTTAATTTAAGTACAGTAGAATTTCATTCTTCTGAGAACAGCTGCCCACAGTTTGTGTATGTTGGATCATCAATATCTTGCCTAAGAATTCATGAGGGAAGTATAGAGGCTGATGGTGGTAGTAGAATATTGTGGCAGTAGAATTATGTGCTGCCAAGGCAGTTTTACTGTTATATGATTGTCTCTGATTTCTGCTGTTTCGGGCAGAGTTGATTAGTTTGGTTGGGAGGGTTTGTTTTGTTTTACTGACTTAAAAAAAAATCTGTATTTGTGTATTAATTACTGCTTCCAAATTTTAGGTGATTGAAAGGTTTTCTTTCGACTGCATTCTTGTCTGAAACCTTGATTTATGCCCAGCACTGTATCGAGGGGGAGGGGTGGTGGTTTGTTTTATTGTTGGTTGGATTTTGTTTGTTGTTTTCAAAAAGCAGATGCCTCTACCCTCCAAGTAAACCAGGCTGCAAATTTGAGTAGCACTGTTGAGTAGCACTGTTGGAAACTCTATGATCTGAATCACGCTATTGAAAAATACTATATTCTTGATTATGTAATAGCATTCATGTTGACTGCTATACTACTTAGAAAATTATTTTTGCTTATGGCTGAAATGGTGTTTGAAAATCCTTTTAAATCCATTCTCTTATTAACTAGATTTTCCCCTGACTAAACTGAGATTTTACTTGAAGATGGAATGTCCTCTCCTTAGGGTTTTTTACAGATGAATTTAATGGTCTATCAATCAGTTTAGCAGCTGGCTAAGGTCTTTTTTATGTGAAAAGGGAAGTTCTAATATCATCAGGTCTTATTTCATTTGTAAATCTAGTATTAAAATGTGATAGTTGTGGCCTGAATTGCAATTAACTTATTGACCTTTATCGTTTAGTTCTTCATTTAGAAATATTTTCAGTTCAAACTTGAGAGATTTTTCTTTCCAAACAGTTTTCGCTGGTGTGCTGAGGTACTTCTTACAAGTTTTCTTTTGCATCAGAGTAGATGCTTAGCCATTATGTGAGCATCAGATGACCTCTTGTCTAAGAAAAGCAGGATTGTAAAACGAGCACCGAGGAATTACTGGTGGCTCAGACTTGTATTCTGGGAGCCGTAGGTGTCCCCTCCCTCACCAGCTAAATGCAAATCCGGTTGCTCTCCAAACTTTAAAATCAATACGAAGTCAGTCTGGTATATTTTACTATCCTAGGTATCTCAGTTTAACTGTTAACAGTGATAAGACACATCTTCAGTAATTTTTGTTTATTTTATTTTGTGGTGGTTTGGTTTTGTTTGTTTTTTTTCCTTTTACCATTGAGTCTCCCCGATGTGTGTATTGTACTTTTGCTAATTTTTGTCTTGTCTCTTGTCGATAGACTTCGGTATGCAGAATGTGGGTGTTGCAGTATGGTTGGCCACCGCCAACTGCTATAAAACTGTTCAGTACATTGTAATTCCGTTTAATCTTGTTTAAATATTCTCTAACTGGGCAAAGGTGCTGTATTTGGAGGGTGGAGGGAGGGTCAGAGATAGGTAGTATTTCTTAATTTACATACACTGTAGCACACAGTAGGGAACTCCTAGCATTTGTAGTACTAAATAAGTATGTACATAGCAAAATGTCTTTATTGTGTGCTTTGCAGAATATGTGCATACAGTTTGCACGTCCTGTTTTGGGGGGTAGGGTGTGTTTTAAGCAGTGTTTGCCTGGAGAGTGATATGCTTGCTGCTTAATCAAAGGATTAAAGTTTCAAAGAAATCCGTGTCTTCTATTTTTATGTACCTTGTAATGGTCTAATATGTTAGGGCCCTTATACTGTGATTCTCTTCTAAATTCATTTATATTTTTTTAAGAATTAGAAATAAAATTATACAATGGTGTTGATTTCAGTGGGGAATTTCTTTTGCCATATCTAGTCTCCTGTTTTGTAATGTAGTAATGAACTCTGACTTCAAGGTTGGCTTCATTTTGTCACTTTAAAAAATGTAAAATGTTTGCACACTGAAGTTTGGCAGAGAACGTGTATCCTACATTGTTCAAAGCTAATGTAACTCTACAGCTTTTTGTACAGTTTATTTTAGTTAATAAAGCAAAACGGTACTAAAAAAATGACAGATTTTACAGATGCAAGGCATAATCTGAGCAACGTGTCTTCAAGGAACAACACTTGCAAAATATGGATGTACAAGAACTATCAGATTTAATTGTTGCACTTTAAATCAGAATGGGTATGAAGTTAAGCAGGTATTTCTGCATTAATAAAACAATCACTAAACATTGCACATCATAGTAAAGCAGTTTAATTTGTCTTACAGTTGATCGTGATCAAAAAAAAAACAACCCTGTTCTTAGGTTTTTGTTCTTCTTTATATTGTTGGGATTTTTCTTAAATTGCACCGTGTTTATTCTGGAAACTTCAGAGTTCACAGAAAACAACACAACCCAGTAGCTTCTGTATGTGGGAGTTTGTGCATGAATAGAGCAGAATTGCAGAGCTTATGGAAGAGCTTGGGTAGAAGGTTACTAGAATTATGTTGTGCTTCTCGATAGCAAAAGAAAGGAAGAGGTGGAATTTACAGCTGATGCTAAGCAGAATTGTGGGTGTTGGGGGGAAAAAAGAAAATCCAGGGCAGAGACAAGCATCTTGAAAGTGTTGACTTAGAGGTGCGTTTCAAATTGCAAAGGAAGCTGTAGAGGAGTTAACAGCTGTCACAGCTCCAGTGTAAAACAGTGCGCTGTAAATTGTGCCGAATACGCCTTGGTGTTTTAATTAATGTGGTGAACCTCCAGCTTTTCCTGAGGTTGAAATAGCTAAACCTCAAGAGTTTGCCTTTCTCTGAGCAGGTTAAAAGCAGACACTGTTGCGATAGATACCTACTTTAAGATCACAGGAAGTTGTATATGAGATATAAAAGGCAAACAGACTCCACTTACAGTCCATTACTGATGAATTAAACTTAAAAAAATCTATATAGTAAGGTAGGGAGGAGAGGCAAAATATATAGGCAACAGTATCTGGACTATTCAATAAGAAACTGGCCTGTTTCTTACAACAGACATGGTTAAAATTGATACTAAAGTACAGCTTTATAAAAAGAAACTGCTTTGTTTTCACCAGTAGCGGAGGCTGCTGCTTGGAACTGCTGTCAGTTACTCTTTAAACTTAAAGGTCTTTTTCAGTGTAGATTTGTACACTGAAACAATTCTAGCAGCAAAATAAACCCTCATTGCTGCTGCTGACTTAGAAATTTTGGAAGCATGGAGGTTTGGGGACTTTGAGATCTCTACTGCTGCTTCAGGGATATGGCTTGGTCTTAATACAAACCAGGCCTCCTGTTACTCATGGAATCTTAAGAGTTGTGATTTAATTTAAAAGTGATGCCTGCACCCTAATGTTTGATGATACCTTTGACTGATCTTTGTCACCACAAACCTCCGTTCCAGAGAATTATGTTCCACAGTAGGAGGATCACTAGTGCAGCAAATGTCTGGCTTGGGAACTTGATCCCGTCTCCAAAGAAACTATTCGTTTACATTTATAAATATTTATGTAGAGAAACACAATGCCTGTTGTTCTGGCAGGTGTTTCTGGGAGCTTCCTGGACAAGTAGTACCCAGGCTAATCAGGATATTGCTAAAAGCTAAGGGGTAGGGGTGGAGGAAGTCTTTAATCTTTACAAGAGAGTGTTCTTAAAAGGTGTCTGTTGTAGTCCTGGCCTCTAGACTTTTGCTGCACTCCCAGAATCAAAGCGGTGTGGCCCGACACCCTTGGGAGGGGCAAGTCTGAGTCATTTCAGTGAAAGAATAGTCTTTCTGAAACCATACTATTACTATTCTTTTTAGAGCTTAAGACAAGCCAGATAACACAGCCTAACTGTTTCTTTTTGAGATGGTTTCTTTTTCGTCAGCACTTTCATGCATGTGCTAGTTGCAGTATTTTCCTTAGAGACTGGTTTTCCTCGAAGTGGTTTGATGTGCAAGGCAGAACGGCATGAGGCGCAGCAGAAGGCGATGGGGAGAGATAAAACCTTTGTATCAGTACTGCTGGCTGGAGGATGGCGATGTGGCCTGTGTTTGTAAAACATCCTTTGGTACCTCTTGAGTAATTAGCAAATCATGCTGGCGTGTGGTATGCACGAATGTCTTA